GACACTGAAATTGTCCTAAGTGTGAAAAACAATCATAACTCACTTATTTCAATGCCATTGTAACTTCAAACAGTCAGTCACTAAGCAAATAGCAGTAGCAATTACACTTAGACTTATATATCGCTTTCCAGCCCTAAGTGTTGTGGTCTGCCAGCAGAGCCAGCAGCAAAGTCGGATGGTAGTGAGGAGGTTGGGGAGGAACCCAGGCCAGTCCCGGAGGCTGAGGAAGGCTCAGATGAGGGCTCTAATCAGAGGCAGAGATGAGGCCAGGGCAGGCTAACAGTCATCAGCTGCCTTCGGGCTCGGACAGCAGTGAGGAGGAGGAGCTTCTGGAACTGGTTCCCAGCCTGCGCATGCGCAGAGCTGCCAAAAGGAAGGCACAATTAAGAACTCAGGGTCAACATGGAGTAAGGCCACAGGTGGACGATGAATGGCCCCTCCCATCAGGATTAAAAGAGAAGCAAAAAGGGAAGGGGGCTTTTGCAGGAAACAACTTGCTTGTTCGTTCATTTGTCCATTCATTCCAGCCTTGTGAAGATTTGTCTGTATAACCCAGCCCTTCCCTGTCATCACTGGTTGTGGAATTTTACTGGGCAGCGTTCCAGGATTTATAAAGGTCTGAGCTAATTAGTATACCTTCGCGAGACTTTTGGCCAAGTCGTTGGCTGACTGTGAATGAAATAAATTCACATTAATGTAATAAAAGAGGTTTTTGCTGGGACTCAGAATTGACTTGGTGCTTTTTGGGCCTAGGCCTAGGACAGAATACTAAGTGGTTTACAGAGTCATTACTGACCTCGGAAAGATGGAAGGCTGAATCAACCTTGAGCCTGGTGAGATTTGAACTGTTGAACTGCTGGCAGCCAGCAGTCAGCAGAAGTAGACTGCAATGCTGCACTCTAGCCACTGCGCCACCGTGGCTCATGGTTGTAAGCTGAGGACTATCGGTAGTAATGAGGACCAGAAATTTTTTTTTTATCATTTCAGTTATGGCTGAGTAATGCTTTGAAGATGTTATATTGCTATAAGTCTCTTGGGGAGATGGCCACCATTTTTCCAATGCCAATGAAATGGTAGCAATGTCTCCTGTTTTCTGAAAATCTCTCAATGTAAACTTTAATTCAATAGGACATTATATCTTTTATTGGCGATCCTTGAAGGTCTATTTTGAACAGCAACCGTGTTTCAACCAGTACCTAGCCAAATGCATTTGGGGACTATGAAAGTGCTTTTCCCCTTATTGCCTCCCCCTGCCATTCAGTATTCCTACGGAATTGAGCATAGGTTGTTTATTGACACAATTACTTGCTCAATGGTTATTGACAGAGCATAAAGGAACCCGAGGAGATCAGGTTAAAGCTGCTTTAGTCCAGCTTCTGTTATTGTCCAGCAAGGGATGTACTCAAGAGTTATGTTGCCTCTGATCCTAGAGGTCACCATATCTAGCAGATGCTGATAACCTGTTTCCATGAATTGATGCAGTCTCTTCTAAAGTCATGTTAGTGGCCTTCACCCCATTTCTTGTTGGAAGGTCTTTAGTTCAGCTTTGCACCGTGTTAGTCAAATTCTGTACTTTAACTTTGACGATGAATTGTCCACAAGTTCAAACTCATTGGACAATTTCTAATATATAAGAAGAAATGGGGGAAACATCTGAGCATTTTGCATTATTCGATCCCTTTCTATCACTTCTCTCGTTAATAGCTTCTCCACTTTAAAAAGCCTCAAATATAGCCATCTTTCTATACCAGTGAGATAATCCCACCTTCTCACCATTAAGATTCATTTTTCCTTGCTCCCAAATTGCATTTAATTCTTTTTAAGAATAAGAATTCTTTTAGGACTGTTCTAAATACAAGGCTTGAGGCAGTCCGTTATGCAATTCTGTTGAGGCACAGTTATCTTTCTATTCACTCTGCACTTGCTGAACTTCTATACTTTGGCCTCCCTTCGGGGGAGAATATTGCTGCAAGTAAAACATTTTCAACACAGTTAAGACAGGCCTACATTTGTACCTTCATCATCGGCTTTGCTAATATAATGAAATCTTTGTTTGGTACAAATTTCAGTACGATCTGTACTATATTACATCTCCTTCCCCTGTAACAATGGTTCTGCTTATGTCTCCAACCCCTATGTGTGGAACTTCTCTTTTGTTCCACCTTATTTTCAAGATACTTTTGATTGGGGCATTGGGAAGGGGTGGTTTATAAAGGTAGGATGAGGTTTACATAAAAAGAATGGCCAGGCTTTAATTTCACAGCCACTGCTACTGTCCTGCAGATGTTGCCCCTTATTGTGAATGCTGTGCTGTCACACACAAACTATGGGACACAGGACCTGGTTGATGGTGTTGTGAAAAAAGTTGTCCAGATTATGCGCTTCAGTTGAGCGCATCTCAGTGGTGGTATTCAATTTTTTTTACTAGTGGTTCTGTGGGCATGGCTTAGTGGGCGTGGCAGGGGAAGGATACTGTAAAATCCCCATTTCCACCCCACTCCAGGGAAATGATACTGTAAAATCCCCATTCCCTCCCACCACACTAACCTGTTTTCCAACTCCGTTCTCCTGTGCAGGGCAACAAAAGAAGACCCAGCCAATCAGCTGGGACTTGGGAGGCAGAGAATAGATGGGGGCGGGACCAGTCAGAGATGGTATTTGCCGGTTCTCCAAACTACTCAAAATTTCTGCTACCACTTCTCCAGAACCTATCAGAACTGGATGAATACCACCTCTGGTGCATCTGATCACTGCTCCATTAGATTCTGTTTCTCGAGTTTCTTTCATCCACTCACGTCTTTTTTTTTTTACCCTAATTTTTCTCCAGGCTTCCATGAAGATAGAGGGAAGGAAGAAAGAAAAATTTTGCTGTTTCTATGGGGAAGCACAGACCGATTTATGTTTATTTGCCTGATTTCTAAGAGCAGCGATTGCCACTTTCAGTTCTCCTGTTCTACAGAGGTCATGTGAAAAACAATCATGTCACTTTTTTCAGTAATTTTGAACAGTCACTAAATGATTAGTTGTAAGTCGAGGACTTATCTGAATTCCTTATCCTCTCTAGAACTCTTGCTAAAGAGTACATCTTGACCTCCTTACTTACTCCTCCTTTCCACCTTGTCTCGGGGACCATCTGCTGTTTGTGCTTGCTCAGCATACTTCCTTCAGGACAATGGACTATTCTGTCCACCATCATCCATGTTAGACTAGAATAGAATAACAGAGTTGGAAAGGACCTTGGAGGTCTTCTAGTCCAATCCCCTGCTTAGGCAGGAAACCCTGTAGCATTTCAGGCAAATTATTGTCCAACCTCTTCTTAAAAACTTCCAGCGTTGGAGCATTTACAACTTCTGGAGGCAAGTTGTTCCGCTGATTAATTGTTCTGACTGTCAGGAAATGTCCTTAGTTCTAAGTTGCTTCTCTCCTTGATTAGTTTCCATCCATTGCTTCTTGTCCTGCCCTCAGGTGCTTTGGAGAATAGCTTGACTTTCTCACATGAAAGGTAGCAGTTTGATTTACATCTCAGGTAGGAAAATATTTGGGGCCATTTTTTCTAGAAATGAATTATTGTCTCTATTTGGGGAGGGGGGAACAGGAAAGGAAGGAAATAGTTGAATCTACTGAGATCTAGACTGCAAGAGGACAGGGCAACTTGGTATCCTGAAAAAACGGAAGACGTATCCAAAGCAATGCACCTCTGACCCCTTCTCCCAAGCCAAATTAAAATATTTCCATTCATCCGGAATATGGGAACCATGAGATGTGAACAGAATGCAAACATTGCCTTGGCTGCTCTTGAATTGCTATTTAGCCCTCTTCCTTTCTTCCTCTCTTAGGGAGAATCCAAAGGGTAGAAAACACACCCAGGGCAAGCCTCCAGTTCACAGCCAACAGGCCGTTACTGTGACGACAAAACCTGCTTTTCTAAATACTGCAAACAAGTGCCTTCAGTCTCAGCTGCTGCAGCCATCTGCTGTGTGTGCTCAGCCTTTCACTTCTACTGAGAAATGACGACAGGTTTCTCCCCCCCCCCTCCAATGAGGGCTAGAACTGGGCCAAAGGTTGGTCAGGCCAAGGCATTTCGTAAACGGGACTTTAAAAAAAATAAAACCATTGAGAAGACAGGAGGTCTGAAGAGCATCTACTTCAAACACTCATTAATTGAGCCAGTTAAATGATAAACCTTTTGTGACTACTGTTGGTTGGATGTTTCTGCGGACACCCATCCTTGGCAAGATGTCAGAAGAACTTTTCCCTGGGGTGATTTAAGAGACAAGCCCCCTTTACCTTGAGTAGTGGGATGGACTAAGCAAGACAGAGTATTTAAGGAAGGAAAACCAGAAGTCCCAGGAAGAAGCTTAGTAAGCAGCATCATGTTCCCTGAAAGGACCAACTAAATCTTCTCCAAAGCTAAGGACTGAAACTACTCTGGTAAAGTAAGTATTTACATATATAACACCTGCATGCATTTTGATATTTTGATTTAAAAAAAAAACTTGGTTGAGTTCTTTGGGGTGACTTGTATTGCTTAGTCTGAAAAAAATGCTTCTTTTTTGAGAAAAGTTATAAGTTGCTTAGAACATATTCATGCCATGCAAAAAAATAATTCCTAGTGTTTCTCTTCCTGGCTTCTATTTTTGATGTTTTCAGTTTGGGATATTGCTAGTATAGGACAAGATCACGAACGTACATTTTCTTCAGATTTGTTGGATGCCAGAACCCATTGGTTCTAACTCAGCCAATGACCGTGGACTGGTGGAGATCATTTCCAAACATCTAGTGGGTAACAGGTTGACCACCCTTTGGTGTTACAAATAGTACATCCATTCATTTGACTGAGTTTAGCTGAAGGCAGTATCCATTCTTATCACCCTAAGTGGGTTTTTTTTGCTAACAATTATAAATTTTAATGAATTAAAGACATCTTTTTCCTCTCTATAATTTGCAATTCATCTCACAGGCTAAATATTCTCATCATCATCAGCTGTAAAGAACAGGCAATGCCACCCCAAGTGCAAACACGAATGAATACCACTCCAAAAGTGGTCCAAGGAGACTTGAAGAGTCTGGCGCCCAATGTGAGAAAGTTCATTGAAAGCAATGCCAAGCTGTGCCAACCGAAGGCCATCCACATCTGTGATGGATCAGAGGATGAGAACAAAAAGATTTTAGAGCTCATGGTGGAACAAGGCATGATCAAGAAGCTTAGAAAATATGAAAATTGGTAAGAGACCACTATTGTATGCTATGCAAAGCCAAATATATGATCCACTGCACAACGTCCTCTCCTTAAGGGTTTCCCCAACTTAACGTTAGTATATGGGCTTGAAGTAACTTTTCTCTCCTTTGCATTTCATCCCTTATTCTAGCATTGTCCAAAAGCATCCTGAAAGTATGTACAAAACCTTTGGAGGGACATCTAGAAGTAACCAGGAAGAGAGATAATAGAGATAAGATAGGGATCAGCTATGGGGCAGCAAATGTGATGCTAGACTAAATCAATGAAGGATGGAGAGCAATTCAGCTCAGCAGTGTGGAGCTGTCCATAAGTAGCCAGTGTGTTAATACCATTAATTTAATGTTCTTCCTGGATAGTTCAATGTAGGGATGAATAAAAACCAAAGTTCCCTTTCTTTTTTTCTACATTATTCCAATACAGAACTGCCACTCTTTAATTGATGTGCCATATTTTTAGTGGCTACGTAGCTATCAAAATATCAATAGATAAAGATTTTCTCATTATTGAATGTCTTAGCTGGAGAAAACCTCAGATAGCAATATTTCTCAAGATCATTAGTTTTCTTCTAAAAATACCACCTTTCTTTGCCACTTTACAGTCATTCTGATTTTTAATTTTTGGGATCTATCTTCTTTGTGTAGAAAAGATGAAATAAAATCAAGTAATGCATTCAACCTTTGTACACAGAATAAATGTAACATGATTTAAGCAATGGGTGTGTGGGTGGGTGGTTAAATCTGGTCTGGTGAAGCAACTATAAAGCAAATTTCTAGAAACTGGTATATAGAGTGCAGACTGGCTCTTCCCTTTCCCAAACTTTATGGAGAAATTTTATAAGTCCATTTCTTCAACTGCTTAAAAGAATAATTCCACAGGCAGCACATTAAGAACACAAAATAAAACAGACAATTTAGCTGGAACCTAGAAGAATAAGCCAATAAGACAGTTATCTCCATTTTAGTTTACTGGTTCAATGATACTAAGATTTGCTAGTACTTGATACCACAGACTTCTCATGCCACAGATCAAATTCCAGTGCAATTTATGCCAATTCAACAATAACACCAGTTTGCGATTAGCACAAATTATGCAATCACACCCATATAGTAATGTAAATTGATCCATGTAGCATAGTTTGCATCTTTGGCTTTATTGCAATGATGGGCTTTTTGATTTACCAGACTTTGGTGAATAGTGGAACCCTCTTCCCTACAATTAGAGGTTAAATACATTAATTGGAGGTTAGTTGAAATGAATTTTCATTGTATGTCTCATTTATATAAGATATCCTAAAAGTCTTAATGCAGTTCTAAATAAAGCAATCTACTGAGGCTTGGCCACATTATTCTTTAAAGTACATGCAACCCTAAAATGCTTCATAAAATTTTGGTTCATTATTTTAGAAGTCAATATTGAGACTAGCATTGGAAGGAGATATGTTAATCATTTCCTTCCTCTCATAAGCAAGCAACAACACCTGAAAACCAGGAAGACAGGAGGAAATAATAGGTATAGACATAGTGATATGCACACAACACACACACACACACACACATTCACTCACTCACACACATTACAGGTATGTGTGTATATATATAAAAAAATATTTGTATCCCACCTTTATGAGCTGTGGTGGCACAGTGATTAGAGTGCATCACTGCAGGCTACTTCTGCTGCCTGCCGCCTGCCTGCAATTTGGCACTTCGAATCTCACCAGGCTCAAGGTTAACTTAGCCTTCCACCCTTCTGTGGTGGATAAAATGGCCCAAAATTGTTGAGGTGAGCCTAGAACTCATAGTCTCCTTCCTTCTAGCCTGGTGCCTTAACCACTAGACCAAACTGGCTTTACATACATACATACATACATACATACATACATGTTTGTGTTTTTGTCTGTGTCTGTGTAGTTCCACTTTCAAGGAAATGCAGCCCCAATTCTCATTTCTTTCTTTTTTTTCATTTTTTTCCATTATTGTCTGTAAGATGAGGCAGCATAAAAATAAAGTCATTTTTATTAGCAAAACATCACCAGAAGTAAATGGTTTGACTGCACTTAAATAAATAATATTCCTTTCACGATCCAGCATTGTATGGTGCTAGACTGTCTTGAGATAAAGAGAAATTGAATTGGATTTCTTGTCATTTTTATTGCTCACATGACAAGTGTAAATGTTCAGCTTCTCGTCTCCACAGCTGGTTAGCCTGCACCGATCCAAGGGACGTGGCCAGAATTGAAAGCAAAACTGTAATTGTGACTCCAGAGCAGCGAGACACCATCCCAATCCCCCAAAGTGGAGTGAGCCAGCTGGGACGGTGGATGTCAGAAGAAGATTTTGAGAAAGCCTTCAGGATCAGATTCCCCGGGTGCATGGAAGGTAGACACACACACACACACACACACACAAACAATTTTATGGTTAGAAGTAAAATACTGCAGCTTCCTACCTGTGGTGAGATAGCAATAGCACTTAGATTTATATACTTCTTCATAGTGCTTTACAGCCCTCTCTAAGCAGTTTACAGAATCAACATATTGCCCCCCAACAATTTGGGTCCTCATTTTACCCACCTCGGAAGGATGGAAGGCTGAGTCAACCTTGAGCCTGGTGGGATTCGATCTGCCAAATTGCAGTAGGAGTAGCTTGCAGTACTGCACTCTAACCACTGCGCCACCATGGCTCTTCAGATAGAAGATATAGAAAAGGGGTCTTCAAACTTGACAGATTTAAGACTTGTGGACTTCAACTCCCAGAATTCCTCCTCCAATCATGTTAGCTCAGGAATTCTGGGAGTTGAAGTCCACGAGTCTTAAACTTGCCAAGGTTGAAGACCCTTGAGATAGAAGAACATTGCTTCAAAGATGTTCACAAAATGGGTTTTTTGTTTGTTTGTTTCATGGCTAAGCAGTCCTTGTAAGCCCAATAAAAAGAGCAAATTCTGCTAATAATAGAATGAGTGTGAACATCACAGTCAATGGCGCTTTTATTATAAAATTATTTTTACCTCTGGAAAACCAGTTGAATGGTTTACTTATAGTTGTGTTTGGGTGGGCCTATAATGCCAGTTATTTAATACTCTCTTTAGATTTGCTAGACTACTCAGAAGTCACATCTGGATTTGGATGGACAGAAGTATGTAACTGTTGAACTGCTGTGGTAGAGCTGTGGTGGCGCACTGGTTAGAATGCAGTATTACAGGCTGACTCTGCCCACTGCCAGGAGTTTGATTCTGAGCAACTCAAGGTTGACTCAGCCTTCCATCCTTCCAAGGTCGGTAAAATGAGGACCCAGATTGTTGGGGGCAATACGCTGACTCTGTAATCCACTTAGAGAGCTGTAAAGCACTGTGAAGCGGTATATAAGTCTAATTGCTAATTGCCATTTCTACTGTTTTGGAATTCAGTCATCTACTTCTTAAAATGTATTTCGTGAAGGATTGGAATGGCCCAGACTGATCTTCAACAAAAAAAGTTGTACTACAGAGCGCTGTTGTTCAGCTCCTCTGTTCCCTTCCCAGAGAGCTGCTCTTCCCTTTATTTTTTTCAGATATCTTCCCTTGGGGATGTTCAAGAGTTTCTGCAAAACTTAAAGGTTTCCCAACATTATTGACATGCCCACTTTGATGATCAAGTTGTCATATCTGCCTTTTGAACCTCCTTAGTGAGACTACAGTTTCCACAAAGATAGAACGAGACTGCAATCTACACTTATCTTCTAAACTTAAATTTGGAACAGCTTAATGATATATTGCTGGAATTTGGCATACATTGGCAGTAAAACATGAGACTATAGAGTAGTAATCAATAAATCCAACTCCCATTAACTGGCAGAATGTTTGTTTAATTCTTTTGAATTTGGAATCTGGCCCTGACATGCTGATTTTGCCAGATGTTACCTAGTATTAAAATGATTTGTACCCAAGTTCTGTAAACAAAACAAAACCTTTACCCATAAATGTGTATTTTATTGGAGACAGAGGAAAAGAGTATCAAATGAGAACAGCCTTCGTTAACCTGCTTCCCCCAGATGTTTTGAACCTGAACTCCCATGCTGGCTCAGAATGATGGGAATCCAGTCCAACTGCAAGCTGTCTGAATGGGGAGAATAACAGAATTGGAAGGGACCAAGTCCAACCACCTGCTCAAGCAGAGGACTCTATACCATTTTGGATAAATGGCTATCCAATCTTTTCTTAAGATTAGTATGATAACATAACAGTAACTGTGTGAGGGATCTTGGAGTCTTAGTGGACAACTAGCTAAATATGAGCCAGCAGTGTGCAGCAGCAGCCAAAAAAGCTAATGCAATCCTAAATTGTATTAACAGAGGGATACAATCAAGATCAAGGGAAGTACTAATACCACTCTATAAAGCCTTAGTAAGACCACACCTAGAGTACTGCATCCAGTTTTGGTCACCACACTATAAAAAAGATATTGAGGCTCTAGAAAAAGTACAGAGAACAGCAACCAGGATGATTAAGGGACTGGAGACAAAAACATATGAAGAACAGTTACAGGACATGGCTAGTCTAGTGAAAAGAAGGACCAGGGGAGACATGATAGCGGTCTTCCAATATTTGGGGGGCTGCCACAGAGAGGAAGGGGTCAAGCTATTTTCTAAAGCACCTGAAGGCCAGACAAGGAATAATGGATGGAAACTGAACAAGGAGAGATTTAACCTGGAAATAAGGAGAAACTTTCTGACAGTGAGAACAATCAACCAATGGAACAGCTTGCCCTTGAAAGTTGTGGGAGCGCCATCAGTTGAGACTTTCAAGAAGAGATCGGACTGCCATTTGTCAGAAATGGTGTAGGGTTCCCGCTTGGGCGGGGGGTTGGACTAGATGACCTATAAGGTCCCTTCCAACTCTGATTATCTGTTATCTATTAGTAGAGATTTATAATTTTGCTTAGGATTCTATCCTCTGTTTCTCTTCTGCAGGTCGTACCATGTACGTCATCCCATTCAGCATGGGACCGATTGGTTCTCCTCTATCCAAGTTTGGGATTGAGCTGACTGATTCTCCTTACGTGGTGGCCAGTATGAAAATTATGACTCGTATGGGAACATCTGTCCTAGAGGCTCTGGGTGATGGAGAATTTGTAAAATGCCTCCATTCAGTTGGGTGCCCTTTACCATTAAAAAGTAAGCCATTCTTAAGCTAAAATGTACTTCATTCATCCTCTCTTTCCCAAAAGATAATTGTCGTTAATTTATTTACCAAGTAGAATATTCAGAGTGATCTAGTGATAAAGTTGCCAAGTATCTCTTTGAATAAGAGATGCTAAGTTGGGACTGGTTGGTCATTAAATGCAACAAACCAGAAATTATTCATTATAGAAAGAACCAACAAAGCATTCCTAAATATTTTGGGGTTCTTCCAAATGACTGAATTGTAGCTTGGATGAGAAAATTAAGTGCAATCTGGCCCACTGTTTCCCATTACATCTTTTTCTCAAACCACCCATGAAGAATTAGCTTTTTTCAAAGAATGTGGTCTACTACAAGCTACTGTAGCACTGTAAGCTAACCAAATAACTCTGCACCGTACCACAACTCAACTTTTATTTACCAGACAGACGAGAAAGGAATACAGGTAGTCCTTGACTAACAACTACAAAATTTTGAGCCCCAAATTTTTGTTGCTAAGTGAGATGTTTGTTAAGGGATTTTTTTTCCCAATTCACAACCTTTCTTGCCACATTTATTAAGAGAGTAACTGCAGTTGTTAAGTTAGTTACAGGGTTCTTAAATGAATTTGACTTCCCCATTGAATTTGCTGGTCAGAAGACCGCAAAAGGTGATCTGAGGGCTCCAGGAAACGGAAACTGTCATAAATACATGTCAGTTGCCAAGCATTTGAATTTTGATCTCATGCACGGTTGGGGTGCTGAGGGACCACAGGGTTTTGGGAGAGCCCCTAGCAAAGGTTCTATGCAGTTTGGAGAAGCCCCAAATCCCACTCCTGGATGGCCCCGCCCACCCCACCCCTCCCTTCCCATGTGGCCCATTTTGGATGCAGGTAAGTGCAGGGTGCGCATGGATGTTCGAGGAGGGTGAAAAATGGGCCTTTGGAAGTTCAGGAAGGCCAGAAATGGGCCTGTTTCCGGCTTCCAGAGAGCCTCTGGAACTCGGGGAGGCCAGTTTTGCCCTCTGAGGCTCAAGAAAAGCCTCCAGAGCCAGGGGAGGGCAAAAACATTCCCTCCCTACTGTGGTGCAGGAGGCCAACTAGGCCATGCCCACCATGGCCAAGCCTACCCAGCAACCGGGCAGAGAACCCTTTGTTAAAATTTTTTGAAGCCCACCCCTGATCTCATTCTCATGGGATGCTGCAATGATCATGTGAAAAACGGTCATAAGTCACTTTTTCCTGTGCTGTTGTAATTTTGAACAGTCACCAAGTGAACTGTTGTAAGTTGAGGGCTAACTGTATATTCATGCTGTCTAGTTTCGAAAGGGTACATGGCAAAAATACAAAAAAAAATAGAGGTAACTTATATTCAGGTGATCAGTCAGAAGTAACAAACTCTCTTTTGCATTTTGTAGAGCCTCTAGTGAATAACTGGCCTTGCAATCCAGATTTGACGTTGATTGCTCACATCCCTGATCACAGGGAGATCATTTCTTTTGGAAGTGGCTACGGGGGAAACTCCCTTCTAGGAAAGAAGTGTTTTGCTCTTAGAATTGCCAGCAGGATCGCCAAGGAAGAGGGCTGGCTTGCAGAGCACATGCTGGTGAGTTTTAGTAACTAGATTATTTTTAATAACTAGATGATTTTCAATTCCAGTCAATAGACTAAGGGGCCAGCATGGCTATAAACCCATGAATGAAAATTCACGATCGCTTAGTTCCTCCTGGAACTCATCTCTGGACTTGTGTATGAGCATTAAAAAAAAGGAGAAGGATTTTCACTGAATCCTGTTAGAATGTTTTGATAGATAAGCATCCATTGGGAAAAAGAAATATTTAAATATTGTGGGTGTGGCTTGGTGGGCATGGCGTAGCTTGGCAGGCATGGCTTGGTGGGCATGGCAGGGGAAGGATACTGCAAAATCTCCATTCCCTCCCTACCCCATTAACTTGCTTTCCAGCTCCATTGTCCTGTGCAGGGCAACAAAAGAAGACCCAGCCGATAAGCTTGGACTCAATGGGAGGCAGAGAATAGATGGGAGCGGGGCCAGTCAAAGGGGGCATTTGCTGGTTCTCCGAACTACTCAAAATTTCCACTTCCAGTTCTCCAGAACTGGTCAGAACCTGCTGAATACCACCTCTGAGCCAGAGTCATTGAAGCTAGGCAGCAGACATGTCTTTATTTATAACATGTATGTTCTGTTTCTCATCTCAAAGTGGAATTTTCTCAAACAGATAAAAGTATAAGCATTCTGAAAAAAATGTATGTACATCTATACCAGGGGTTGGCAACCCACAGCTCTGGAGCCACATGTGGCTCTTTCATCCCTCTGCTGCGGCTCCCTGTTGCCGGTTGGAGCCACAATTTTGAGAGGAGTTTCTGGTTAGGGGGTGGGAAAACATGGAGTGCCAGGAAGAGACTCTATGGCAAGGGGCAGGTTTTCCGGTCGGCTCCACAATTGATAGGGCTTTCGGTTAGGACCGGTATAGGAAAAAGGACGCCGCACTAGGGGGAGACTCTATGGTGGGGGAACTGGACTTCTGGACGGCTCTAGAATTGAATGGGGGGACTTCCGGTTAGGACCTTTATGGCTCTTTGAGTGGTTGCTGACCACTGAATTCTATACAATTTTAGCACAGTGTAAACTAGAGGTGTCTAACCTTGGTTACTGTAAGACTTGTGGACTTCAACTCCTTGGTAACTTTAAGACTTCAACTTCATGCTGTGGCTGTGGTACCTGTGAGTTGAAGTCCACAAGTCTTAAAGTTGCCAAGACTGGACACCCCGGTGTGATCTATAATCTTACATTCCTTGAACTATATTTCACCTGCAACAAGGCTAGTTGAAGTCACATACAATTTCAGAATAATGACAAATTTGGAAGTTGCCATTAAGAATATCTTCACGTTTTTGCTTGATGCTGCATGTTGAGTTTTTTTTGGGGGGGGGAAAAACATTGTTTGTGTTTTTAAACAGATTTTAGGTATCACAAATCCAAAAGGTGAAAAAAAATACTTTGCGGCAGCGTTTCCTAGCGCTTGTGGAAAAACCAATCTGGCTATGATGAATCCATCTTTGCCAGGATGGAAAGTGGAATGCGTTGGAGACGATATTGCTTGGATGAAATTTGACAACAAAGGTAATTTATTTAGAATTCAGCTGGGAGTTGATGATCCAAAGCTGTGTTCCAGTAAGGTGGGGAAACTATAGTCGTCTATATTTTTTCCCTCCCATCAATTGTGGTGTTGTTCCAAGAAGGGAAAAGGTAATGATTAATTTGTACACATTTGAGACAGGCATTTGTGTGCACTATTTATTTATTGAATTTATATCCTTGGGCAGTCAAAATCGACTTTGCGGTCTGCATGATATAAAGCAACAGTAAAATATACACGGCATAAATTAAAAACTTCTAAAACAAAATGATTTCATAAGTTACACCCACTTACCAGTAAAAAATAAATTGATGGCAAAATCCAAGCTAGAATGCTTTACAAAACAATTCAGTTTTTAAGTTCTGGGAGTCTCAGAAAGGGGACAGTTCCATTTCAACTGTGAGATTATTCCAGTGAGCTACTCAGCTTGCCAGAAGTAGGGCCAATAAGCAGTTTTTGCTGCAATTACCTTATAAATCATACCAGTTTTAGTTGGAGTCAAGGGTTTTTCAAATGCCAAGCCCTGGATGTTAGAATGGTTGTTCTCCAAGGGCTTTCTCTAATGTTCTGGATTTCTTTATAGAATGAGAGGTGGTGGAGGATGTGGCAAGATGTGGCAAGCCCTTGAACTATACGAGGCTGAGTTGCTTACAAAAATGGGAGAATATTCCAACATTCCCAGGAGAGAATACAGTGGCAATTAAAAGGGCAGGGTGGGAAATAGTGCATTTTGTGAATGCAGGTGATTCAGTGAAGGGGGGTAAGAATGCTAAATGATCATTTAAGAGACTCATAATATTTGAACTTTTGTTTTTCCAAAGTTAAAGTAATCTGCCCCCATGCTGTCACTGTCCTCCCATGCCAGCTTAAATTTTAGGAGCGGTATTCAACCCAAGTGTAACAGATGGAATTAAGGAATACAAAAATCATAGACGTGAAAAAAAGGAAAGGTAGAGTTGGGTAAAGACTGGGTTGATGAATAGCAATAGCACTTATGTACCGCTTTATAGTGCTTTATAGCCCTCTCTAAACGTTTACAGAGTCAGTCTATTGCCCCCAACAATCTGGGTCCTCATTTTACCCACCTCGGAAGGATGGAAGGCTGAGTCAACCTTGAGCCTGGTAGGATTTGAATTGCCAAATTGTAGGCAGCTGGCTGCAGAAGTAGCCTGCAGTACTGCACTCTAACCACTGCGCCACAGAGCTCCTTTATGTTGTTTATAAATGTTCAAAGGTAGGTTCCAAAGGTGCTTTTTCAAAAGGCAACTGGACTTCCTTTGCTTTTGCTTGAAGACATTTTGCTCCCTCACATCCCGGACATAAACTGTTTCAACTCCTTCCCTCAAAATAACGCTATAGAACACTGCACCCCAGAACAACTACACACAAGGACAGCTTTTTCCCAAAAAAACTGCAAAAAAAGAATTCCCTCAACACGGTTCAACTATTACAAAGTCTGCACTACTATTACTGTTAATCTTCTCATCACTCCTATCACCCATCCCCTCCCTCTTGTGACTGTATGACTGTAACTTTGTCGCTTGTATCCTTACGATTTATATTGACTGTTTCTTAGTATGATTTGATTGCTTATTGTACCCTATGACTATCATTAAGTGTTGCACCTTATGATTCTTGACTCTTGATGAATGTATCCTTCCTTTTATGTACACTGAGAGCATTTGCACCAGGACAAATTCCTTGTGTGTCCAATCACACTTGGCCAATAAAGAATTCTATTCTATTCTATTCTATTCTATTCTATTCTATTCTATTCTATTCTATTCTATTCTATTCTATTCTATTCTATTCTATTCTATTCTCATCCAAGAAGCTTCTTCAGTTCTTGGATGAGAAGCTAAACATCTTCAAGCAAAAAGAAAGTTCTGTTGCCTATTGAAAAAGCATCTTTGGAACAACAATGACTTTGGATGGCTGAGAATCTCTATAGACACTCAGAGGGAGGAGAATAAGTTGTGAGGAATGGACAGAAACAAGAGATGATGATAATAGAAAAGATTCCTGCTGCCTCTCTGGCATCTCAGCCACTTTGTGAATGATATCTAAAGGAAGTATCTTACCTAATGTTTCCTAGGTAATTTAAGAGCCATCAACCCAGAGAATGGCTTTTTTGGAGTTGCTCCTGGAACCTCTGTGAAAACCAATCCCAATGCTATGAAGACAATAAAAAAGAATACAATCTTCACCAACGTGGGAGAAACTAGTGATGGAGGCGTATATTGGGAAGGTATTGATCAGGAGCTTCCACCAGGAATCACTCTCTTGTCTTGGAAAAAGAAAAAATGGACTGCTGAGAATGGTACGAAGGAGACCCATCCTTCCATTTCTCTATTATTTGAGTTGCATTTTGGGTTACTGCAATGATGAAAATGTGACATATATTTGTCTGTATATATTTGAACAGAAGAGCCTTGTGCTCATCCCAATTCCCGATTCTGCTGTCCTGCTAGCCAGTGTCCTATTATTGATCCTGCCTGGGAAAATCCAGAAGGCGTCCCAATTGAGGGCATCATATTTGGAGGACGGAGACCTGAAGGTAACACCCGAAAATTAAGATAACCGTTCCTGCAAGCTTAAAAAAGTATCAAAAACAATTTAGTCATTGGGGTAAATTATGTTGTCTGAAAAGTTAGGAAAAAATTGATAAACATGGGGGACAAATTACATTAAGGAAAAGAAGAGGGAAAAAATAACAAAAGCGCCCCATAAAAGATGGCTATCCTGTCTTTTCTGTGCCTGAGGTACAGAGTTAATTGTCTTAAATTATAAGAAGTCCGATTTCAGTTAAATATTACAAATTAACAATCAGGGTGGCTTGATACTAGACTAGTGACAGTCCGTTTCCTCATTAGTGACTTAATGGCATCTTCATAGCACCAATCAGTCCCATTGCAGTGATATGAAGCCTATCATTCATTACGGCTATTTTACTTCGATGACTCTAGAACAGTGATGGCTAACCTTTTCCACGTCATGTGCTGAAAGTGCACTCGCGTGCCTGCCCCCATGATGCACTGCAAATGCGACCCCCTGTGTGCACTGTACGCCTCTGCGCATGTGCACATGACCCAATCTGCGCCATGTGCCTCTGTGCATGCAAACCCCACACACTCTGCACCTCTGCGCATGTGCACATGACCCCCACATGCCCTGCGCATTCATGCATGTCTCTTGCATGCGCATCTCCCCCCATGCATGCGTGACAGATACCCAACTATCAGCTGGCTGGCGGGGGGCACACATGCGTGCGCAGTGGGGCTCTTCCGGGTGATCTCTCTCATGCCGGCAGAAATGGCTCTGTGTGCTACTTTGTGCCATAGGTTTGCCATCACGGCTCTAGAAGTTGTACGGCAAAATTACCAGAGAGAGAAGACAGGTCCCACTTTTCTGGTTATCTTTATGCAAAGCTAGATGCCTGTCTCCCAGAGATGCCTTAATTTGAATTCCTTCTTTGAACAGAGAGATTGAATTAAGTGGCCACTTCTAAGCCATGATTCTAGGCCACCGGCAATTTTTCAAAGTCAGCTAGGCTGCTGCAGGAAAGAAGGACATTTCATAGCAGAATATCTGATATGGTGGGAAGTGGAGTCCCAACATTTCTATAGGGCAAGAACTTAATATGTCTTAGATTTAGACTTTGAATAACTTCATTGACACTTTGAATGAACACTAATCAACTTACATTAAAATGAAATTCCATTGCATACAGCTCTCAAATGGTCTCCATCTCCAGTATATTTATATGTCTAGCTGTAGTTCATTTGCAAACCATAATAGCTTTCATGCAGTGGTGTGATTCAGCCAGTTCACACCGGTTCACATGAACCGGTTGTTAAATTACACACAACACACATCCCACTATCAAAGTGGATCCTGGATGTTGCGCTGCAATGAAGAAACAGGCAATGGAGTAACCGCTCTGTTTCCCATTTGTCCATAGCAGTGCAGCACCCAGGATCCACTTTGATAGTGGGGGGAGGGTTTAACAACCAGTTCGTCAAGGGTCAGATTGGTTGTCACAGGAGGCTCATCCCACATGTGCGGCGGAGCCGGAGAACAGGTATAGGCCACGCCTCTCATGACAGCCAACCTGACCCTGGGCGAACCGGTTATTAAATTATTTGAATCTCACCACTGCTTTCATGGTATATATAGAAATTATAGAAAAGTTCTTAACCTTTGGTCAGAGAAAGTTGCATTTTCCTGCCATTCACAATACTGCACTCTCTTCCCATTCCAAGTATTACTCAGCAGTACCTTTGTAGAGGCAAAGGGTCCATAGCTAACATAAATCCCCTTCCCTGATTCTTTGTACCTTAAGATAGATAGAACTGTTTACATTCTGAATAGATTAGATAAGCCACAGGGAGGATGGCTATGCAGTGATCCCAAATTTACAAATGCTGGTGAACATAAGCCAGCTGCTGCTGTGATCTAAAGCAACAAACTCAATTAGGTGCAGCACCAGTAACCTTTAAATATTCCAACCATTCTGTTTTCTCCAGGTGTGCCTCTAGTTTATGAGGCTCTTAACTGGCAGCACGGGGTATTCATTGGTGCAACAATGAGATCAGAAGCAACAGCCGCTGCTGAATATAAAGGTAAGTTAATGTGAAATAACACTTTGGTATTTAAAGTGCATGGCTCATTATTTTCACCTAGAAATTCTGAACATTTAAAAGAACCAACCTTCCTTCCTTCCTTCCTTCCTTCCTTCCTTCCTTCCTTCCTTCCTTCCTTCCTATGATAGTAAAACTACTGTGCTTTGGTATTTAAACAATTGCTACCCCACACAGGGCATGCAATTGTGACATTGTGTAAATAAAGAAAACATTAGATTTTAGGCTGGAGGATCTATTCTATTATAATCAATTATCTTAGATAATTGTAACATATTCTCCACATTCAGAACCAAGACATGGTTCTGGGAAGCATGATGTGAAAGAGAGCATGATGCAGTCATGTCTGCTTCCTAAATGATGTTAGTTCCATCAGCCATGCAAGATTCAATTTCCTGATAGTAGGAATAGATTTCTATGAAAAATGGGGAAAGATATCAGAGAATTTTTTTTGCCATTCCCAGCCTGGTCTATCAAGGGGAAGAAGATGTGGGATTAGATTTTGATCCAACCAACAGGAAAACAGTTCTTTTATCCTTGTTCTCCTTCGCTTATGGAAATTTGGTTGGACAGGCAATATTTCAATTTCAGAGAGTAGTGAACATAGTTAGGCAAGCCTGCCTTGTAGTTGTGTGTGCGTGTGTGTATGTGTGTATTTGCAAGCTTGGTTCCAACTGATTTACCTTCTGCACCTCCCTGTTGTAATCCGCACAAAGGTTCCCTGAAATTACAGCCATGAAATTTTTATCACATTGTCTGCTTTGATATAACAAGTGTGAGAGAGAGGGAGATAGATCATGGGATTGAATAATTAGTGGAACAGGAGGAACAGTTCCTATGTTAAAGATGAAATGGGAGAATGGAGCTTTAATGCTTGCCTCGATTTTTCCAGCCCAAATTACCTTTGCTGCAGTGGGAGCTTCTTCTCATTGCCAAAATGTTGTGGTCTGTCGGCCGCTGGCCCCTCCAGCAGTCGAAGCAGTAAAGCTGCATGGGCAACTGAGAGCTAATGGAGGAAATGGAGTTGTCAGAGAGAGAGAAAGAGAGAGAGACAGGGGCAGAGCCTGGGCCATCCATCAACCTTCAGATGGAGAGAAAGAGCCTCCAGGTCTGAAGGTGGCTGATGAGGAAGAGGAGGAGTGCTGGGTCCAATGCCTGGTGCGCAGATGTGCAGAAGGCAGAGGAAAGAAGAGCAGTGGAAATCTATGGGCTGGTCCTTGGGACAGAAGAGCCATTACTGCTAGCAAAGCCCCATCCTAGCTCTGGGCATAAAAGGCAAGGGGGCAGCGATGAATTGGTATGTCAGACAACTATTCATCTCCCTGCTGGACAGACTTGTTAGCCTGCTGTGTGTGTGTGTGTGTGTGTGTGTGTGTGTGTGTGTGAGAGAGAGAGAGGGGGGGAGGGGGGGAGAGAGAGTTTTTGCGGGGGCTGCTGGTCCTCCTAATAAAAGAATAATTGCTTTAACTAAAGAGGGTTTGTTGTGTTTGGGAGCCGGGTCAGACCACAAGATCAGGAAGTGCACAATTCCAGTCAGGACTATTGTCTTGATCCTGCTCAGCTGCAGGTTAAAGAAAAATTAATCGTAATAACGTGAGTCCCAAACTAAGAAGCCTAGATTAAAAGTTGCTTGAATTTGACTACTACAGGTAGCCCTCGGTTTACAGCAGTTCGTTTAGTGACCGTTACAACAGCACTGAAAAAAGTGACTCGGGACCGTTTTTCACACTCATGACCGTAACCCCATGGGGGTCAAAATTCAGGCACTTGGCAACTGACTCATATTTACGATGGTTTCAGTGTCAAGTCATCTCCTTTTGCGACCTTTTGACAAGCAAAGTCAACGAGGGAAGCCAGATTCATTTAGCAACCGTGTTACTAACTTAACGACAGCAGTGATTCACTTAACAACTATGACAAAAAAGCTCGTAAAATGGGGCAAAACTCGTTTAACAAACGTCTCACTTAGCAACGTAAACTTTGGTGCTCCCTTGCCCTAATTCGAGGACTACCTGAGGCAGATTCCAAGGCTGTACAATTTCAAGTGAGTAAATGTAAGAGTAAGAGAGAGTAAGAGTAAGAGTAATTTATTTGTCAGTCACTTACAAGATAATAGGTATAAGTATAAACATGAGTATGAATACAGGAAATGGGTACAAATAAATGAGGACAATAGGACAGGGATGGGAAGCACGATGGTGCACTTATGCACGCCCCTTACAGACCTCTTAGGAATGGGGTGAGGTCAAAAGTGGTTAGTTTAAGGTTAAAGGAGTGGGGGTTAGAAGATGTAACAACAGAGTCAGGTAGTGCATTCCCGGCATTGACCACTCTGTTGCTGGTGATCTTAGAAATAACGGTGAACTAATTTTGGATGAGGCCTCCCATACTTTTTTTTCTCCCCTCAGGAAAGATCATCATGCATGATCCTTTTGCCATGAGACCTTTCTTCGGGTACAACTTTGGTCAATATCTTTCCCACTGGCTCAGCATGGCACATCGGCCTACAGCAAAACTCCCGAAGATCTTCCATGTCAACTGGTTCCGGAAAGATGAACAAGGGAAATTCCTTTGGCCCGGCTTTGGTGAAAACTCCCGGGTGCTGGAATGGATGTTTAACCGCATCCGGGGAGAAGACGACGGTGCTCAGCTGACAGCCATTGGCTACATCCCCAACGACACAGGATTGAACTTGAAAGGCTTGGAAAGGGTCAGCCTCCAGAAACTCTGTGATGTTTCCAAAGAGTTTTGGGAGAAGGAGGTGGAAGAAATCAAGAAATATTTTGCAGAGCAAGTGAATGCCGACCTCCCGTATGAGATGGAAAGAGAAGTTATTGCGTTAGAACAGAGAATTAAACAACTGTAACATCGACTGGACACTGTGTAGATGGTACTTTGGAAAGAAATGTCCAGCTTTTTTTTTTTTTTTTAAGAAACTAGGCCTGGAAGTGCAGTAAAATAGTGGCAATCACAGTTATGGACGGAAGTATCACTTGTGCAGTTCAACTGGAGTAGAGAGGTCTTCCAGTCACTCAGATAGTTGAAGCTGCTTAGTTACTTTGAAGCTACTTTGAAGCTAGATAGAGTTGATCAGCATTATTGCTTCATAAAATAAATGAAATAATCAGAGCTATTGCTTGATAAGCAGGTATGCTTCCACTGCGAAGTATTGCACTCACACATCAAGTAAGCCATTCCAGAATAGCCGTGGTTTCTCTCTGTAACTCTTCCTTGTGTCAGTTCCTCTCCTCCTCTGTCACTGCTCATTGTAGGATGTAGAGATTCTGCACTTCAGTAAGCAGGAGGTGAAAGACTAAAAGCCACTCAGCCCAGCAGCTGTCCATTTTAATTTGCAACAGCATTAAGGTGGTGATAATGATATAATCCATAATGTAATGATGATGATATCTTCACCCACTTACTTGTTTTCTGGTGCCATATTAAAATGACCTTGCAGAAAGCCAATTGTTCCTCACCACAACGACATTCTTCAGCATGTAGTTAATAATACTGAATAAAGACTTGTAGACATCTGCATTGTTGCAACAACAGATGAGGGACAATCAGAAGAAGTAATTAGCAGCTAAGGTATTTCGTAAAAATAAAGATATTCAAGAGATTACTACTCCATTGTGTCACACAGAAAATTCTATTTTCTGTATGCAAAATATTTTCTACTTGCCTTATGTTTTGTATTGTGACTCTGTCATGATCCCAGAATAATAAAATATAGCTTTGTATTTTGGCTTCTTGATATGTACTCTGAATATTGCTTATAGGCAATCCAATCCTATGCATATTTATTTGGAAATCCCACTACAGACATTTCTGCATTGTTGTGCTATCTGTCGCCCCTATGTGTCAGCACAAAAAATGGTGTCATGATATTGGTTGTTCCATTGTTTCATATTTTGCCTCTGTAAAGTTTGTTGGGCCTTCAGGACAAATTAACCACATTTTCCACGGCATCATGTATTTTACATATGGTGATCGTTTCTCATCTCAGAGCTTTCTTGGCTTCCAACCTCCCATGTTGCAACTCTTTAAGATATAAAAAATACAGTTGAATTCAGTACATACTCTGGCACCATTATATCAATATGCCTCTTTTTGGACTTCCGGTTTGAAAGGCTTTGGCGACAGACAGAAATCCGCGATCGTGTGCGGTTTCTGTCTGGGCTCGCCGCTGGAGTGCCCCGAGCTGGCTTGTTTTGGGGCTAAGCCACCCCGTAAAGGTGGTGAAGAGGGGGGAGACTGCCAGCAGGGTTGAGGAGAGCCGCATCTCTCCTCCTCAGCTGGCTATTACTCCCTTTCCCAAAGGCGGTTGCAGCGGTGGTCAGAAATGGCCACCACAAAGGAGAACTCGACCGGAAAAGAATGTGCAGGAGGAAGATAAGAAGTGAAAGTTTTGGCTGACCAGGTTAAATTGTAAAAGCAACAACTAAGGTACCCTGGAATTTAAACTTACAAAAAATAACATTGCTCCCAAAGAAGAGTCAGAAGCAGCGAAGGAAGGTGAAAAGGGAAAGGTTTGGCTTTTTTTTTCTTCTCTCTCCTTCCCTATACTGACAACTAAGAGACTTAAATAAGAAATTGGAAAAATCTGCTTTGATATCAATAGGCAATTAAGCTGAAAATAAAACAAAATGCCAAAGGGATAATAAAGATTTCTGGACATTAAAAATTTTCTTTTTCATAAGCAGGAAGGGAGAGAAAAGAATAAGGGCAGGATCTGGAAGAGGGAGGAGACTGCCTGGAATTAAAAAGAATCTACAGTAAAACTTCAACAAGACTTCTAAAAGGTACATTTTAACTGAAACTTTGCAACTAAATAGTAACCCCAGGAAGAGAAAGTGAAAAAAAGAGCAAAAAAGAAACAGCTTGCATGTATTTGGATTATTTGGTGATCTTTGGATTTTTGGTTATTATATTTGAATGACTAAAATCAATCAGGTGGTTGTTTAAAAATGTATACAATGGCACCACTTCTGGATGAATTGAAAATGGAACTTAAAAGTACAAAGAAGATGCACAAGAAGGGAAGGGTTCTTTTGGCTTCGTTTTTCAATTCTTAGAAATGGAGATTTGGAACTATGAGAAACAAGAAACGACTGCAAAACAAGAAGACTGGGACAAAGAAGAAGCCATCTTTAATGAACAAGCAATATTATGTGGGAAAGAAAAAGGAAAGGGGGGGGAAGAGAATGGAGAATTTAAGACTTAAAAAAACAACCCAAGAAAAGAAAAATAAGTATAATACTGGAAAGCAACAGAAAAGGGGAATACAGAAGAGAGAAATAGAGGTAGAGAGACAAGGGGGTAAAAGGGGAGAGAGAAGAAGAGAAGGAAGAAGGAAAGGAAAAGAAGTTACAAAGGACCGGAGCAAGATATAGAGAAACAGGACCTATTTAGAGATAATGGGTGAAAATCTAACTGAAAAAGGGATTCTGTAAAGGTACATAAGATTGTATTTTTATATTAGTAATAGAAATAACTTTAGAAAATTGGAAACAATGTATGATTAAAATGAAGGATAAAATAGTGTAATTTATGAAATGTTTGTGAATAAAATAAGTGAAATAAAACAAATGAGAAAATTGAATTAGAAAGGAACGGGAACATTTTAATTAGTTAATATTTTATAAAATATAAGTGAAGGGAGGGAATTAACTATGGAAAGCTTATAATTGTTCCCATAGAAGTATGATATTTAATTGAAAAGTAATGTTAAAGATGTTAAGACTTTAATGAATATTAATATTAATGATAGAATTGAATTGGAATGGAATGGAATGTTGTTTTAATTATATACATTTATAATTTGTTCTTTTTTTAAGAATACAGTGTGTATTTTAAGAATGTACCAAGCAGAATCCGAATGGAAATTATGTATTATATTGAATGTTACAACTTTAGGGAAAAGATATAAAGGCGTCATACTCCAATCAGTAACTACAGGATAAATTTTGTTTAATGAGAAAAGATAATAGATAATTGAAACAGGACAGACAAAAAATATAAATACAATGATTTGAATTGAGATGAGATAAGTAAAATAAAATTGAGAAAATTAAAAGAGGGGAGAAGCTATGCAGAAAATATAAAATAGTAATAAGATATGGAATAGAATATAAAAATGAGCATGAACCTGAATGTGTGTCTTTATGAAGAAATGTAACCCGGGATTACGCTACTTTCAAAAAAGATGTTTTATTTGTATTTTTTTTTCTCTTTGTGAAAACTCAAATAAAATTTACACACACACACACCCATGCCTCTTTTTGGACAAGCAAAATAGAATAATGAACCAGAATCTGTAGACTCTCCACCCAACACAGTTGTGAGGCAAATGGCTTAAACCAAGGTTGTTTTCAAAGAGACAGCAGGGAGACAGTGAAGGTATCATAAAGTTATCTTGAGTTATTGCTGATATTGTTTTCTGTCAGACATTTTCTCATCTCTTTACATTATCCTTGGATAACCACAACTAGAGGCCAGAGAGGGTGGGAAAGCAGAGAGGTTGTAAACTAATAAATACATGTTTGTTCAGGGGAAGATCCATAGTACATTCTTGGCCCCCCAAGTAATGCCATCTAAAAAGTATAAAAATATACTATACCCCTTTCCTTCCTCCCCTCCCCTTTCCTTAAACAGATAACACTACCATAATGTGTCAGCTTTCCCGGGTAGATCAGATAGGAAACCCAATCAGATGAACTAATTCTATTTTATTATAAGCCTGCATTAACAGAATCTTGCACATCAGAAAGTACAACTAGGGCACCATCTCATTTATAGCCTGAGAACCCAGAGGGTGGGTCCCTTTGGAGTCTCTTTTTCTCCATCCATTATGCAGCTGTGGAGTGTGACCTCTCTTATCTGACTCTTCCCTAGGCAGCACTTTTTTCACCCCATATTTCTAGATCTTTTTCACATACTATTACGAGTTAATGGATAAAGCAGAGTTGGTGTCAGCATTCCAGCAAACCTCCATTCCAACCAATAACTACAGTAGCTACTCCTGCAGTTTGGCAGATCAAATCCCACCAGGCTCAAGGTTGACTCAGCCTTCCATCCTTCCGAGGTGGGTAAAATGAGGACCCAGATTGTTGGGGGCAATAGGCTGACTCTGTAGACTGCTTAGAGAGGACTGAAAAAGCACTGTGAAGCTGTATATATAACTCCAAGACATATCTCTCAAAGGTTCCTTTTATTTGGATAGTAACTGGCACATCTGGAATCTTGAATCTGAAGTTCCGGGCTTCCTTACAATAAGTAAAACTATAAATCCATCCTCTATACCCATCAGCGCATCACATGACCCAATCACCATCCGTCCAGGGGTGGGATTCAAAATTTTTAACAACCGGTTCTTTGGGTGTGGCTTAGTTGGTGGATGTGGCTTGGTGGTCATGTGACTGGGTGGACGTGGCTTGGTCATGTTATTGGCTGGGCATGGCCAACTCAATATCACTCAAATCGAGGCACACCTCTCCTGGCCTCTCATGACTGTGGGGATGCTGCAAAAGTCGTAAGTGTGAAAAATGATCATAAGTCACTTTTTTCAGTGCCATTGTAACTCTGAATGGTCACTCCACACAAGCAAAGAACCAGAAAAGGAGGGGGGAAAAAAACTCCAGAGAGGTTCTTGAGACAGGAAGTCTAATCCTGCCAAGAACGTAATAAGGGTTAACGGAGAGGCAGTTTCTGTAAGCAACACCAGAATGTTTCCTTCCTGCCTTCCTTACCGGATTAGGCCAGTAATTTCTTCTAACAATCGGTTCTCCGAACTGCTTAGAATGTTAACAACCTATTCTAGTGAATAGGTGCGAACTGGTAGAATCTCACCCCTGCATCCATCCCAAA